ACATAATTGTTTCATTGTATATTTTCTAATTTATAATTATTTCTGCCTGATAATAAAAATACTGTGTACTTCTCTGAATAAATCTGAGTCCCACTATTCTCAGTGTCCCTTACTTAGGAGAAAAAAGTTATCTACAAAAACTGAACTAGCTGCAGGATCCTGTGTCCACAAAGTACAGTATCACTTGATTTTCTGAAGAATCTTGTTTGAAATTACATAATTTCAAAGGTGATCTCTATAGATCTATTGACCATGAAACCAGAAAAAGGGCTTCATGGTCTAACTTGCATGACATGGCCATATAACATTTCAGAGTAATTTAGTGCTGAACTAGATCACGTGAATGTAGAAAATTATTTTTAAAAAAATTACATAAAATTACATTATAATTAAAAAGTATTTAGTGATGAAGAAGCTTTATCACTTGAACCCTTCTTCAACTGACCACAGAGGTGGTAAAAAGTGCATATGATATCTCTACAATCTCTCTTCACGGTGTTAACCTATAGTCAGTGTTCCAACTTTGCTAAATAAATTGAAAAGCCCTGCTATCAAATTAATGATAAAACCCTATCATTCTGTGTAACAAATCAACTATGTTGAGGTTGAATGTCCACATATTGGATATTTTCTCATTCTTTGAATATTTTGTTTTGACCTTCTTGGAGACTTCTAATATATTTACACCCTCTAGCATTGAAAGTACAAGATCTGGTGTATTTTTCTATTCAAAGTCTTCCTAGAATAAAATGCCAGCATCAAATAATTTGGCTTCTTTATTCTTTGAAGCATCCTTCAGGGACCCCGCTTATTTATGTGTCAAAACCATGTTAATAATCTGAAATTTTGGAATGTTTGCACTTATATGTGCAAAGTGAAAGCAACTCTTATTCCAGGGAAGTATTTCCAATTTCTGCTGAGAAGTCATATAGCAGTTGAAGAGATATTTTATACTTCTTTATCTCTGTGTCAGTTAAATAGTTAATATGGCTCTACAGCAAAAAATATCGCTTCTGAGTTTCTTCAGGTAACAAGAGAAAAAGCATCCTTCATGACATTAAGAAGAACTCAAATTATCTCAAAATCTAACTACTAAGAAAGAGATAAAAATATATTTAAAATATTTAATGAATGAATTAATCAATAATTGTTTTGGAAAGTATTTCAAATGAGAAAAACAAATACAGAGAATTATTTTATAATGAATTGTGCATTTATAGGAATAGTCAGGCATCTACTTTTGTTTCCAGAAACTGTCCTAATAATATTGCAAAAAAAACCCCAGCTCCTGTGAACTACATATTTCACTATGAGACAGTGAGGACAAACCAGACCTTTTCATGCGTCCATTACTCTTAACAGATAGAAAAAGAAAAGTTTAAAGGAGACATACACATACAAACAAAAATGGAAAGGATGACTCTGGATATGAATATATAAATTACCCGTAAGGGAAATTGGCTAATACCTTTTCCCACACTGTCCTTCATTTAATTTTCTTAAAAGGGAAAATTAGAACTGTTGTTATCAGGGACATGGTGTCTGGGAAGATTAACAGAAATTTCCTAAAGTCATTTCTGTAATTTGCAAAAGCATTAGTAACATTTAATTAATAATAGTCTCCATGAAAACAGATGAAGGCAACACCATCAAGTTTCTTACATTGCTTCTGGCTCCCTTGGGATGCTGTGTGAAGTTACCACAGACTGAGGCAATTTAATATTTCCCATAGAGAACACAAATCCATTTGCATTGTTATCACTAAATGAAACCTTATTTCAATAACACTTAACATTATAAAAATCTATAAAAATGTAGTGCAGCTTATATTCTGAGAGAAAAAAAGTATTAAATATTAGAGTGACAGTTCTGATTGTACATATAATTTTTTTTTTGCCAGTTGCCAAGTGACCCTATTTATGACTTTTACTAGGTAGATGTTTTTAGTGTACTATGTTTGCAACGGGTGTAGGTATGAAGGTGTTGGCAAAAAGGGAGATGCAGGAGATGACCTCTCTGTGAAAACCTGGGTGCTGCCCCATGCCAGACATGACTGAGTCCAGCCAGGTCTGAAGTGGACCCTCCCCAGGACACAGTTGATCCTGTCAGCTAAGCTGGTGGCACCTCTGAGAAAACACATTTAAGAACAAACAAAATACCCCATGGGCTTTGAGGACTGAGGAAATAAATGTGTGAGAAGCAATCCTGCAAATCCCAAGGTCTGAGAAGATGGAGTGGGAGGAGGTGCCCCAGGTGCTGGAGCAGATTTGCCTGTTGCCGATGGAGAGGGCCATGGCAGAACAGGTATTTCCTTGCAGCCTGTGGAGGACTGCACACCAGGGCATATTCATCAGGTGAATATGGTCTGAAGGAGCAGTAGCCTGCAGAGAGGAGACCACACTGAGGAAGATTTATCCTGAGGGACTGCAGCCTGTGGAGGATGCATAATGGAGAAGGGAAAAAGAGGGAGGAGGAAGGAGCTGCAGAGCGGAACTGTTATGGGATGACTGCAACCCCTGTTTCTCATTGCCCTGCACTGCTCAGAGGGGTTGCCTGTGTGGAGGAGTCAAAAACTAAGGGAAAAAAAAAAAAGAGTAGGGGAAGGTGCTTTAATTTTTCTCTTTGTATCTCACCTTCCTACTCCAATTTTAATTGGCAAAAAATTAAATTAATTTTCCCCAAGAAGAGCCTCTTATGCCCATGATGATAACTGGCAAGTGATCTTCCTATCTTTACCTTGATCCACAAGCTTTTCCATCTTATTTTCTCCTTTGTCCTATCACATATGGTGAGCGACATAGTGGTTGGGTGAGTGTCTGGAAGCCAGCCAAGGTCAACCCAGCCCATTGTTTTATGTTATCTTCAGGGTACAGTGGTTTTGATTAGTAAGGCTCAAGCTTCAGTTGCTAAAGGGCATTTCAGTGTGAAAATCCCATTGAAATAAATACTCATGCACTGAAATCAGAATGCAGAAGCAGAAGTAAGAAAATGGGGAAGAAGGCATATTAACCCATTTTAGGGTCTAGTTTTCAGATGATGAAATAAAGTTCTGTGGTTTTAGTTTATTTCCATTTCCTTTGGAAGTTCCTTAAGATTTCTTTTTCAGAACTTAATTAGTGAAGCCAAAGTCTCACAGAATAGCAGCATTTGTTGCAACTAAATAGAAGTAGTAGTGATATGCCCAAGTAGGCAGTTTCTAGTCACTACTACATATGCATTGCTCTGGTTCATATACATATCAATACAAAATTGAATTTAAAAGTTCATGAAAATGCTTTCCTATAAGAGGATGGGTGCTGATATTCCTATTTTGTATGCAAACACATAAATGAATGGCTTGTCACTGCTTAATGAATTTTCAGAATTTATATGAGGTAACAAAATTTCTCTGCATGCAAACACAGTACAAACTGACAGCTTGCAAAAGACTACAACTGATAAGTTATAAACAACAGAGTGAAGATATTAATTTAGATAAATGAAGCTTGTTGAGGTAAAAACATATTACATGGTACCTTACCTAATTTGCTTAGTTTTTCAGATGCTGTTTATAGTCATTTCAGCAACTGTGACATATTACTTAAGTTGGAGAAAGAAAGTATGGTTTAACAAGAATATATATCTGATGAAGCCACGATGCTCTCCTAAAAAGAACAGCATATTTCCAACACACTTTATTAAGCTGAATTACTGGTAAGGTTCTTAGTTTTGGTTATAATGGTCTAGAAGATTTACAACTGTTTGGATTACTATTATTTTTCAAGTGCATAGGAATTTAGAAACAAAAATCATGAAAAGCTAATCTAAACAGGCATCTAAATGACTGTTTTGGGAAACTGTATAGGGAATTTGCTGAATGAGATTGCAGACATCAGAGGTTTACTGGGCCACAAACATCCTAAGAACTAAAAAATAAAGGGCCTGCTTTGATAATGCAATCCTAATGCTTTTCTTCATACAGTTTTTTTGGTAAAGAGTGAGAAAAATCCTTGGCAAAAAGCAATATGTCTGTCATATCCTTCTGTATGCTGAGTGCCATTTTGATGAGAGCAATTATAAAGAAAATATCTGTTGTGAAATTACATACAATGTAGGTAGTAGCTCACAGGATAGTAATTCTTAATTGGACATAGGCACTTTCACCCACTCAGCCTAAGTAAATTTTGCTACAAAAAAACCTTGTATTCAATAGTCACTTTGATTTAGAACGGATTTGGTAGGGAGGAAGCTCAGTTATAGAACTAAACATTTATAATCTTGGAGAAATTTGTATCTTCAAGAGAAGTGGTTTTTTTACAGTTAAAAAAGTACTCTAGCTACAAAAGAACAACTGACATTTCAGAAAGTAAACACAAAAATTCTCCTCACCCAACTCCAATGTGCAAAGGATATGACACGAAGAACAAATAACTGGAGTGAGTTTAAACACAACATCAGCTTGAAGTGCATTGTTTGGTTGGTGTTGAAGTGGGGTAATAAGTTTTAGACAATTTCAAAATTATCATATGCACGTCTATAATGACACATACAGCTTGGACCAACACTGTATGTGTTTCAGGTAACTAGGTCAAATGTAACTTTTAAAATACTCTTTTAAAAAAGCAACTCCCTGAAAATGGAAGGCTTACCTGCTGAGAAGTCCCAGAAAAGGGCAGGTACTTTTATTTATATACAGCAGGTGTACTTTGTACACTCATCAATCTGAACACTCTAGGAGTTCCACTGTCCTTCAGGCATCACAAAGGGCAGTTCGTAATTTATCTCAATGTCTGCTTATGATTGTGCTTTTGTGGCTAATGCTTGTTAAGGTTTGCCTTGCCACAGGACTTGATCATACTGAGGTTCTTAACTAGAGCCTACCAGAGGTAGCAAGCATAACACTGGTATTGGTTATCAAAGAGTAAAAAAAGGTGTCTGACTCATGCAGTGACTGGAACACAAAGATTAAAACATCCTGTTTCCCCAGGCAAGTACTTTGTTATTCCCATTATACTGTCTTCCAATGGTTACTGCTCTCTTTCACATTTTTAGCATGCCCTTCTTGACTGGCTATTATCCATACGTGAAGCATGCAGTCAAATGCAAGCAATTATTCTCATCATACATTCAGTTCATGTGCCAGTCATAAAGCAGCAAATAACAAATCGTTAAATTTCTTTGTACACATAAATCCACTGTGCAGCATCTTTTGAAGGGTCATGTATTAGGTCACAAATATTGGTTGCTATTCTCTGAATTAACTGAACATTCACCTGGGAGCACTTAATCACATATACAAATCAAATAATTTTCAAGATGACATATATTTCATTAACCTTGCTGTCATTTAGTGATATTATTCCTGTAGTACAAATCCTTATGCCCTACAATGCTTTCTGCTTTTAACATACCAGTTCTCTTGATGCCCTCAGTTTTATTTCAGTTTCCCATAATCAAATTCTGTCATTCTTCAGTTCATTTGCAACAGTACAAAATCATATATGATTCCTCAGCAGACTATTTTGGTTTGACCCCGCTTGGACAACAGATGCCCACCAAAGCCTCTCTTTCCATTCCCTCCTCAGCTGGGCCGGGAAAAAAACACACCCAAAGGCTCCTGGGTCAAGACAAGGACATGGAGAGATCACTCATCCATGGCTGTCAAGGGCAAAACAGAATCGAATTGGGGAAATTAGAATAATTTATTACGAAGCAAATCAGATTAGGGTAATAAGAAATAAACACAAATCTTAAAACACTATCTCCTCACTCCTCCCTTCTTCCTGGGTTTACCCTCACTCCCAGTTTGCAATATCTCCTCCTACCCTGAGCTGCGCAGGGTGACCCACCCCTCCTTCTTCTCTGACCTTGGTATCTGCAGACCTTAGTGTCTGCCTTTCTCTCACATAATCTGACTCCTCTCTCGAGATGCTGTTGACTAGAAGTTTTACCCCTTTGTAAATTATCCCTGTTGTCCCAGAGGTACTACTGCTCTTGCTGATGGGTTTGACCGTGGCCAGCAGCAAATGCATCTTGGAGCCAGCTGGCATTGTCTCTGTTGAACATGGGGGAAGCTTCTATCAAATTCTCACAGAAGCCACTCCTGTATCCTCCCACTGCCAAAACCTTCCATGCAAACCTAATACAGAGGAGCTTAATTTTTACAAAGTAAGGTAATACAGACACAAAGAAACTTTAAGAAAAAGCAAAATGGTTTGGGGCTATGAAATATATTTGTTATCTGCTGTTCAATATAGTTGGTACAACATATTTAATTAAATACCAGTCTGTCATAGAAAAAATAAGCCCAACTCGGACCTGATACAATAAGAAGCAAAAATGTTTGTAGCACAGCATGGTGTTATTTAATTATAACCAAAGATTAGAATTTCAGATGTCTTAAAGAAATTCATATTGAAAAATCATAGTCCTTACAAAATATAACTTATTATATTTTGTTTATTATATATATAATATTTTTATATAATATATATATATATATATATATATATATATATATATATATATATATATAATGTTTTGGTTTTCTTATATAATATAGGTTATTGTAAAGAGTCCACATTGTAACAGGTATGTTAATCTATGGAGTGTATTGGTGACTGAAAGTGGTCTTAAGCAGTGTTCCCTCTTACCTTTTTACCTTATTTAAATTTTTCAGGAAAAGATAACTATTAAAATTCCACATTACCACTGTGGATTATGTTTTCTGCACTCTTACCTTCAGTGTCTCTTACTCTCTTTATATGCTATTTTACATCTTCATTCACACGTTTTTACATCCACTTAAACTAAATACACAAAGGACTGCTTTTATGTTTTCAGACTCACTGCCTTACTTGAAGACAAGCTTAATCTCATTACAAAACCGGGGGAGACAACAGCCCCCTTAAAACAAATACTTTAAGGAACTCACTAAAAAAAACCCAGTTAGCTATTCACACGTCATCCTACTTGATACAGCAAGTAGTATCAGTAACAGAGAAGGCACACCCTGAATTTAGTGATAGGCAGTAGGCTATTCACAGCTTTGCTATTTGATAAGCTTATTCTAGCATTTAGCAACTGGGATCAAAATTTATGCTAGAGAGCCACTTTAATTGGTAATGGAATAGTAATGAGCACTCTTTCCACAAAAAACACTGATCAACATCTTCATCTTAATGAATTGACCATATGGAACTGTCACCTTGAATCACCATACTTAATTGATTGTAAGACTATGAAAGACTCTTTTGCTCATTTTTAACCTACCTCATGTGACAAACTGTGAGGATTACCTTAGTCAGTTACTGCATCCAGTCCAAAAGCTAAGGATGAGCTACAGCATCTCTCTTTCAATCACATGCAACCTCAATATAAAGGTTTTAAGTGAAGAAAAAAAATCCACATAATATCTTTGTAAATTTTTTCCATTGACAAATTACTTTCACTACTGACATTTGTTTATTATTTTTATTCCATTATTGCTTTGGCTGTTGTAATGAAGAACAAGAACAGACTTATTATTTATTTTTAAGAAATAATCCTCAAGAAAGACTATACTGTCCCATCACCATTCTGTCTTCTCTGACAGGAGATAAAACTTGCATTGGTTTAGACTTATCATGTCTTTTTCTCGATGTCTGAGTTTTCAACTTCCTCTTTGAATTATTAATTCCCTAATCTGCTGCAATATTCCAGTAAAATAATGCCAAAGGAAGTGATATAAAACCATCTTACTTCTCTTTGCAACTTATCCCTCTGTTTTCAAATCCAGTGGCTGCCTGAGCTCTTCTTGGTACTTTCACCATGATGGTGAATCAGTTTAAACTTCTGTATTGGGTGAATATAGTCTCACCTTATACCTCTAGCACATGGTCCAGAAGTGCAACCTTACACTTGGATGTATTTCAAACACATTTTTTTGATATTATTCAGCTTGTTAAGTGATTTGAACTCTTATATAGCGTTGATTTGTTTTTCCAAGTGATTACTATTGTCACAGTTGCAACTTTGTCAGTGGTAATTTCACACCATATAATTGATAAAATATGTCCAAAGTGTTGAACTAAGAATAAGTTCATGTAAGACCTCACTGGAAGTGCCTGCATTTGCAGGTCTGTCATTTGTAAGCCAACGCATTAACTCTTGGTATTGCTCTAACATTAATCCATCTCATGAAAATGTAGTGCCCCAGCCAATCATAAGTATCTACAAAAAAAGCATCAACACCTTTACAAACCATAAAAAAAAATATCAGGATATATATGTATATATGACTGTCATTCTTTATAAATCTTTCATTATTCATAAATCAATTTATTAGGTTACTCTCTATAAATGTTTTATTAATAATGTCTAATATTGAGTACTTTTTATTTTGACTTTAATCAAAGTTGGGTAGGCAGGCCAGTAAATACTCAGATCATTTCGTTTAGCTATTCAACAGTTTTTGAAGAGACAGATCTGTGGAAAGTTTTATTAACAATTTTTTGCCAGTGTCTACTTAATAAGAAAACAAATTATAACTTATCAGGAATTCTTTATTT